TGATTTGTATTATTTTAAGTTGGTAAATTTGTGGCAATTTTGTAGTCATTTATTATGATAGCAACAGAAAACTAACACAGACAATGACATTGGATTGAAATAGGCGGGGAGTGTAATAGGAGATGAAACAAGAGACGTAGGGTTGATGAATTTGTGGAAGAATAAAAATGAAGGACCAGTGACCATGGGGGCCTTTTAGACCATGGCCAGGCCTTTGCCTTTTACTATGGGTGAAATGGGGGGTTTGGGGCAGGCATAACACAATCATACCTACAGTATAAAAGAGTCACTCTGAACTACCCTGTATAGAATTGAGCTGGATGAATGTTTCAATAGTTCACACAACAGTTATAAACTAGGGAAATTTTAAGGGAGAAATGAATGGTCAGATTGTGTGTATAGTAGGTTAAAGTATATAAAATTGTCATTTGAGTGGGTCAAAAACAGTTGAAAATCACAGGATGAGTCAAGAGGATTTGTATCTAGGTGGCCTATGGGGTGTTGGGGAAAGAGAGGAATCATTGTTGACTCCAAAATCATTGACCTGAGCCAAGGGTAGAAGAATTATACTGAGATAATGCAGGAGAAACAAGTTTACTGGGAGGTGAGGGGCAGGGGCAAATAAGGGACATGTTATGTATAAAATATCTATCAGACATCCAAGTGGAGATGTTCATTAAGCTGTTAGATACACCAGTCTAGAGTTAAGGGGACTGTCTGGAGCTGAAACTACTAATTAAGCTCTCACATCAATGGTGTTCAAAGCTATGAGATGAGGAGTTTAAACATCAAGGAAATGAGTGGGTCATAGCTAGTTTATTACTCTCACCAATTTTCTTTCTGGAAAAAAGTCTTCATGAGCAATTTAGGCTAGTGTGAAAAAAAGCACATTAGAAAGTATTTCTCTCTTCATAAATTCTTCTGTGTCATGAATCTCTCATTCCCTTTCAAACAGAAAGCTTTACAGATACATATATACCTAACCTGCTGCAATAATCTCTCTAAAACACTTGTACAGGCATAATTACAAAATATTTTTGCCAACCACATCATAAACAATTATTAATGTACTAAATTTAGCTCATGGTTTGAGCTTCTCCTGACCTGGGTGTGGAGTGAGAACATGTTCTTTATGGTAACATCTCACTGGATCATGCTGACAAAGCAAATTTTTTAAGCCTACACATAATCACCCTAATTAGGCCCTCAAATGTTAGGACTTGTGTGAATTTGATTAATTCTAGTCATCTCTGTGGTGCAACTGACTTTGCCTATGTCAAAGGAGTGACTCTGCCTTGATAGCAATTTCCTTATGCTATGACCTTACCCCTCCACCTGCTGTATTGAAAAAGTATTAAGGAAGGTTTGCAATGCTGCCTTCACAAGCCTGTGAAACTTCCTTTCAACTTGGAGCCCAATCACACCCAAATCCTTTTCTATACCTAAAATGCTATTATTGCCTTATACCTTTTTTTGGCACTTAATTTATAATATAACTTGTAAGAGGTAAGGCAGATTGTTCACATGTCTTTATCTTCTACCTTATTTATTCATATTTTGATCCTCTAATGGATGCACTGTCCTCAGCTCTCTGGTACATGTATTTGACTGTTGAGCAGAAGAGGGCACCTGAAAACTAACATCCAATCCTCCCTCCCCCATCCTCCCCAATTCCCCCCACCACACAGCTGACTGAAAAGAACAAAGAAAAATAAAAATGAGGGGATTTTTTTTCTTAATGAGAGCATGCTTTATGTTCACTAAGGCATTTATACTTTTAAACCTACTTATTATTGTGCCTTTGAGGAAATACTGTTGAATGGAGGTTGTTGTGATGGTCAATCTTATGTCAACTTGGCAAGATCATGGTGCCCAGTTGTCCGGTCAAACAATAGACTAAATATTGCTGCAATGGGTATTTTGTAGCTGTGATTACCATTTATGATCAGTGGACTATAAATTAGGAGATTATTGGCAATAATGTAGGTGGGCTTCAATCAGCTGAAGGCCTTAAGATTAATAACTGAGGTTTCTCTTAGTAGAATGAATACTACTTCCTCAAGACCATATCAGAAATCCTACCTATGGATATTAGACTCAAGACGGCAACTTCAAATCTTGCCTGAGTTTCTAGCCTGCCAGCTTGCCCTACAAATTTTGGACTTGCTAGCTCCTACAAGCCCATGAGCCAATCCCTTAATATAAATGTCCCTCCCCATGTATACATCCAATTAGTTCTGTTTCTCTGGAGAACCCTAACAATTATATTTCAATGCAGTTCTTTCTTTAGTATTTCTGAACCTTTGGTAATTTAATATGTTATCCTTATTCTTAATTTTATTAACAGAATAATATACACAGGAGTTTATATACTATTTACTAATAGAGGTTAGCTTCTCTTCTGTTATGGAGAGCAAGAGAGAGTATTATCAAAGGAAGTCAACAATAATGGCACCACTCCTGGCAAACAGGGAAATTTTTTACTGAAGGTTTCCAATATGAAGCATTATGTGAACCCAGAGTGTTCAGCCTACTTAAATATTACAGCCCATACATTTTCCCAATCTAGTTCATATGAATTAACAAACCCTAACCAATTCCAATAAAACATCTGAGAAGTTTGATCAAAACAGTTTCTTCTGAAAAAGATGGGCCATGTTTGGAGCAAAGAGGAGGGTTTCAACAGTTAATGCAACTCATAATAGGAGGCTGGTGTGCCCATTTCCAGTGCATCATTCATCAAGAGAATCTGTATTGTAACTTGGAAGTCAGTTTTAGTGCATGATGTAATGGAGAAAATAATGAAGATTACAAATTTTCTTTAGGCTTATGTTGTTTTAACCACTGCCAGTTTATGGATATTTAAGAAGTTGAAACAAAGAAAGTAGATTTAGTTTCTTTTAATTTAGCCAAATATTTAAATCCTAGAAAAATCTGAAGAAATATATGGAAGTGTTTTTAGAAAGAAAAGCCTTAGATCTCACTTGGTAGACTTCCAATGGCCCCCAGAGGCTGCACACTTGCCCCTGATGTCCCCTAACAGAACTCTCTGTCCACTATAACAGTGATGGTTTTGTACTCAGATTCAAACTTGACATGTGGATTGAGAAGATGGTACCTGAGACTGTTCTAAGTGTTGAACTTCTCTGAGCTGACAGGAGTAACAGATTTTAAGAGTTACACAGTTTTTAACTGGAAAAAAAAATCCTGATTTTGAAAGCTATTCACAGATTTTGGCAATTGAGCATGAATGATCTCTGTGACTTTGGGATACAGCCACAAGATGTGTGCGAATATAGCTCTGCCCCATTAAGGTGGTTCATTTTCAAAAGAAACAGCTTGTGCAAACGACACCTACAACACACAATCTTAGTGAACATTTAGAGCAAACTGTGAAAAGGAATAGAGTGAAAGGAAAAATGTATATATTAATGGGTAATTGTACAGTCTGCTCCCTTTTCCAGACTCTGAAAATGGAGGGTCATGCCTTACTAGACCATGCCTTTGGGCTTTTGTGATTCTGAATCAGGAGGAGAAAGATCTGGGGGAAAAGATCTGAAGCACACAGCCAGGGCTGGAGAATAGGGCAAGTTTTGAAGGAGGCATAGAGGCATCTACCTTGTGTGGAACAGTGTTATGAGAGAGAAAAGTGTTTGTTATTCATCTGTTTCACAGTGTTCAGCTACGAGAGTTTTTTAAAAGTTGTTTTGAATTAGGTTTCAAGTACTTGCCTGTGTGTTTTGAACATGTTGCTCATAGACTGGACAACATGGGTCACAGGTTATAAACCCCACACAAAATACGAATCTTGAGCTACAGAAATTTGTGGACAAATTCAGAATAATGTTTGAGTCTACCTAGCTGTCTTATGAAACTGCAGAGATAAAAGCCTTCATCAGTAAAATAACCTCATTCAGATTGTTGAGTTTAGAATGAAAACACCCTCATATTTCCTAGAATAGTCCAGTGTGTACATATAAGTATCCTCATTAAAATGACCAGTAAGTAGCCCAAGGTAAAACAGTATGATTTTTTTTTTTTTTTTACAAATAAAGCTTATTGTGCTAGTTTTGGAACTGCATATTTACTATTGCTAAAAAAAGTATCCTTTTTAATTGAGAAAGGCTATAATCACCAACATCTCTAATATAAATATAAAATATTCATAGCACTGGGCTGAAAACATGCTTTCAGGCCCAGTGGGCAGTGAAGAATCTGGCTAATCTATAACTTGAACAATCACTTCTTGAGGAATTTACAACATGTTTTAGCTGGAAACAGTGAAGACTGGGTCTCTTTTAAGAAAAAAATAGAAGAAATATCTTGTATTTTTTTTCTGGCCTGTTTGATGCATTAAAGTGCGTTCAGAAAACTAATACCATGGTGCCAATTCAATAAAAAAGATTGGAAAAATGTTCTTCCTTCTCTTCAGAAAATTAATATACCCTACCCTTTCCCCATTTGTATTTGTTCAAAGATTGAGCTTTGTTATCTAAGAAGTCCTTGAATAGAAGTATCTTGGAAACAAAGCCTGGACTCTCAAGGTTCCATTCATTTGGCCTACATCCCTGCAACTCGTCCTTTGTGCTAGACATTGTACTCAGTGATAGGCCGGAACACAATTTCAACACACTGGCCCTACCTTGAGCGAGCCACACAGGCCTGGCCAGGGAAGGGCCCAGCTAGTTCCAAACAAACAACCTAACACAACTCAACTGGGCGGCTGCACAGTTGATGTACCCGCAATTACTACGGCAAGGAGGATCAGTCCAAAAAGGTAGTCCCCCTTCCGTCTGCTCCACTTTGTCCCCCAAGCCCTGGGTCTAGAGAAGCTCTGCAGCAGTGGGTCTAGAACTCGGCCGCCCAACCCGAGGGTATCAAGGCACAGGGTGGCAAGCAGCCCAGAGGGGGAAGCAGAGACCCAGGCAGCACAGGGAAGTGGCCCGCGCGACCCCCAAAGACGCTGCAGCAGGTAGGCTGGGCGGGCGGGGTACCCTCACCAAAAGTCTCGCCGAGGTTAGGAAAGGTATCACTGCTGGCCTCGCCGTCGGACTGCAGGGTCTGCGCGCGACGCGGGGCTGGGCTTGGGGGCGGGCTCTCGGCTAAGCCCCGCCCCTCAGGCGCTTCAGCTGGTCCCGCGCGACGCCAACTCTTTCCCGGGTCATTGCCCCTCCCCTCTTCCGGGCCGCGAGCCCCCCGCGCGCCTCCTCAGTACCGCGTTCGCTCGCGCGCGCCTTCTCCCGCCCGCCCGCCCTCTCAGCGCGCACTCGGCTGCCCGACGACGCGAGAGCCGCACGCTCCGGACCGGACTCGCTGCACTCGCTGCCGCCGAGCTCCGGCTCGCTGAGGCGGCGCGCCCTCGGATCTCGCCCCGGAGACGGCCGGGGCCGCCAAATCTGCGGTCCCAGTGGCGGTAAGGAGACCGGACCGGGAGGAGGCGAGCATCAGGGGGCTGAGGGCATCGGGAGGAGGGTGGTCCGGGCGCCCCTGCGGCCACGTCGAAGGCTCGCGCGGCGGTGTGCGATGGAACGTAGTGCGGGATGGAACCGGGTTGCAGCAGCTCCGGTTCGATGGAAAGAAGGGCTGGGTATTGAGGGGGGCGGCCCGGGAGGGATTCCACGGGACCCTCGGCGGGATTGGCGCTGAGGAGACGCTGCCTGGAGGCTGCTGCCACGTTTCCACCGCCCGTTACCGTCCTCCGGGGGTGGGCGACAGCCCTGCGCCTTCCCGCCCCCTCCGCGTCGGTGCGTTTTCCGGGGCCGGGACTCGGCTTGCTGTCTGGGGGGCAGCGCCTTGAGGGGGGAGCCGGGGCCTCGAACCCAGGCCCCCGAGACTCGAACCTGCGTGGGGACAGGGGGCCCGCGGGCGAGCGGGAAGCCGCAGCCTGCTCGGCTGCTCGGGGGAGAGGGCTCCGGGCCCTGCCCCCTTCACTCGGGGAAAACCGCGATTGCCGAAGTTGGACGCGCCTGCGAGCCAGTCTCAAGAGTGGGTGGAGATATGATGCCGACTCACCTAGTACCCTTACACCCTAGCGCGAGTGCTCAGCCCCGGGTTTTGATGGTTTAAAAAGCGCCCGACCCCGTGGGAAAGCCCGTCTCCTCAGCGCCCGGAGCCCGCTCTGTGACGCCGCCGGGGCTTGTCGGGACGCCGCACCCCGCCGCCGGGATGCCCCTTCCTCAACCTTGGGGATGCCTGTCTGGGGTACTTTTTTCTAGAAACGGCCGCGATTAGCATTATTTCGTGACAACAGAAAGAAAAGTGCAAAGTTATAAACTCCTGGAAGGCAGGGCTTGGTGTTCCTTCGGGTTTTACGCACGCCGCGGGGGAGCGGAGGAGCCTGTGGAACAAAGTAGAACTTGAGGAGCCGCGGCCGCGGTGAAGACATCCCAGGATGACGTCACCGAGCGAGATTTAAAATGGGAGCTTTTTGCCCTGAGTGTGGGTGGAGGAATTGCGGCTACTCACTCGAGACGCCCAAGGTCTTGTAGGCCTTGCTTGCTTCTAGTGTCTCTTTCCATGACTTTGTACCTTTTTAATCTCCCTTTTTTTACCTTTTGGTGCAACTATAATACGGCCTGGTGGGGGCGGGTTAATTTTTCAGCTATTCCAGGCACCATTCCTTCAAACTGGGGGGGAAAAAAAATTCCATATGACTCATCTTGTGTTACAACCAAAAACAGCCACTAAATGGTCCTTTCCTTCCTTCCTTTTATTTTTGATATGAAACAAAAAATAAGAACAAAAAACCCCAAACTCAGATATGTACAGCATAGTTGGCAAATTGATGAATGAGAACAATTATGTAGTCAAGGATTCAGTACATTTCTTCAGTGTGTTGCTTTGTTTTCTTTGGTGGAATGGAGGCTAATAGAGTTCCATCAGCAGCTTTCATCCCAAACCATGTATTAAATTGCAGTGGGTTTTCTTTCCCATCTCTACTTATTGTGGAGTATAAATACAGTGTTATAAAGTGGAAATGGCTCACATTTTTTAAGGGTGAGGCTGTTACAGCAGTTGTGGAGGGCTGGGGTTGGGTTCCTGCACACTCTAATGTGCACTCAGTTCTGATGCCTAGTAGCTGGTGATAGAAAGAAGATGGATTTGGCATTCTGGGGTTCCAAGAAGGTTTGGGTGTCTTCCCATTCAGGATCAGCGGTAGCTTTGATTGCCAGCACATGTCTCAGATAACTTTATAGAATTCATTTCACAGTGAGATCCCTTGTTTTAATCTGTGCAAGGAGTAAAGGAATCTTATGAAGAGAAACTTTAAGAGGTTTGAGAAAAGGAAAAGGAAGCTTTTCTTTTTTTAATGAATGAACCTAATTTTTTTTAATGTGTGATAATGCAAATTATCAGCAAGATTAGTTGGTTTTTGTACTAAACATAGTGGATGCTGTGTGTCTTTGATAATTGGCTCTGGAAAAGGTGATACTGCTTAATAAATGCAACATCTGAATAATTACAAATTACAGCAGCCAAATGAATGAGCTCATCGTGTAAAGAAAGACTATACATCGAAACAATCCCAAGACAAGGTTTTTGCCTTTATGGATTAATCAATGGTAAATCAGAACTGCCATTTAAAGAGAGTACTTGAGGCAATTCCAAAAATGCAACTAAATCTATGATTATTTCTTTTAGCTTGATTTTCTGTGGATGACCCTGAATTTCCACTATCTTAAAAATATTTTGATAGAGCCACTATCTTTCTGTCATACCTCTTGGGTAAATATATCTCTGTTCCTGGAAGAATGTTTGCAGAAACCCAGTACTGGAGTTTTTCTTTATGTATAACAGCTTTATTGAAATATAATTCACATACCCTATACTTTACAAATTTAAGATATACAGTTCCTTTGTTTTGATATATTCACAGAGTTGTACAGTCATCACCACAATCTATTTTAGGAGATCTTCATCACCCCAAAAGGAAACCTTGTACCCATTGACATTCCCACCTTCCCATCTTCTGCCCCTAGGCTACTAATTTACTTTCTGCCCATACAGATTTGCCTATTCTTGACAATTCACATAAATGGAATCATACATACTTGGCTTTTTTCCCTTAGCATATCCTATTCAAGGTTCACCCATGTTATAGGATGCCTCAGTACTTCATTCCTTTTTTTGTTGATGAGTGATATTCCATTGCATGTGTATACCACACTTTCTCCATTCATCAGTAGATGGACATTTGAGTTTGCACTTTTTTACCTATTACGAACAATGTTGCTGTGGCATTTGTGTACAAGTTTTTGTATAGACATGTGTTGTCATTTTCCTGGGTATATAGCTAGGAGTAGATTTGCTGGGTTATATGGTAACTCTATGTCTAACTTCTTTAGGGACTGCCAAACTGTTTTCTATAGTAGTTCTAAGATGTTGAATGTACTTTTTTGTGTTTTAAAGTTCAAATTATTTCACAGAATTTTAAACTTAAATTATTGTAGCCAAATATTAACACATTTAGTAAAAACTGTATAGTGGTGTCATTGTACTGCTTCTCTGAATGATATCTCTGATTTTATTTTAACCAAAAGTAGCAGTTTGGTGTAATTTGCTCTCTCTACTGAACTTCACAAAGCTAAGTGATAAGATTCTTAAACAGTATTTTATAATAAGGTGTTTATGGCATTGTTAGTGATTGCTTATTCCCTACTCCAGATATGAGCTAATGAAACACAAGATAAAACTGGGAGGAGGAAAGGCAACTGTGAAGGGGAGTGTACTTTGCAGAGCTTTATCTTCCAGTTTTTATGTTTTGTTTTTTTTTAGAAAAACTGCTTTATCTTTGCAGGGAAAGATGAAGAATGAAATTGCTGCTGTTGTCTTCTTTTTCACAAGGCTAGTGAGAAAACATGACAAGTTGAAAAAAGAGGCGGTTGAGAGGTTTGCTGAGAAATTAACTCTGATACTTCAAGAAAAATATACAAATCACTGGTATCCGGAAAAACCATCAAAAGGACAGGCCTACAGGTAAAGAAATGGATTAGCTTGAACAGTTGATTGGACCAAGTGAAGAGGCTGGTCAGCTCCTACAATGAGTGCAAGGACAGAGGACTGAAGGGTGTCCAGTCCATTCCTTACAGTTTACCTACAAGATAGAGAAGAACTCTGGGGTGACCTAGTATTTTGTTCCCTACTCAATTCAAAATGCAAGTTTGTTACTGGCATTCCACTGCCTGGACTTAGAGGGCCAGTACTGTAGGCTCATGGGAGTTAGTCTTGTGGTTCTAGTTTGGCTCCTGACTGAATGCATTTCTTCACAGGTCCTTGTGGGTTTTCACGATTCTAAAGGACCCCTAGTAAACGGGCATGGTAAGAGTTGAGGAAAATGAGTCTCCTTATATCTAAAAGTAAATTACATGTTACATGTTTTTGGAAAAAAAGTATTATGGCAAATGGAAACTAGACACCTAATGCATTCTTGACACAGGAATAATTTGATTTATACTATGCATAATTCTTTATGGTAGAAGCCAGTGTAACTTTTATTGATGAAGGTAACCTACCTATGATCCAGTACTGGTAAATGTTAGCTTTGTGATTTGAACTTGGTCTAACTGACCCTAAATTCTTATGGGCTCTCTGTGCACCACAATGCGATCTTTGCCTTGGCTCTGTGAGGGAAGGTAATTCTCATTTGTAGGTGTCTTTTGTACTCTGGTTTATAAGTTACATTTACATTTTACAAAGAGCAGCTTTCTGTAAAACATGTCATGGCATGCTTACTTCCTGGCATATATGTGGCTGCTTGAGAACCTGGGTTGAGAATGTTCTGCTGAACTCAGCTGTCAAACCATACCCCATTTATGGATGTGGCCACAAAAACTAAAAGTGGAACAGTTGTGACTATCATTACTATAGAAATTCTTTTATTTATGCATATTGCTGCCCCCAGTTTTTCCTCCACGAGTCAGAATTCTGTGCTTAATGTAAAAGGGGACTTCCTTGCAGTCACTGAGCTCTTGTAAGTACAAACTGTTTAAGGAATACAGAGGGAGGTGAAAATATGATTTGTTTAGCTCTCATTCTCTGAAAGCCAGTTGAGCATGTGTTCTATTGAAAAGAAAAGAATCAAAGTAATTGATGTATTTTCCTCTTCATTTTATCCAAGGAAGTTCTCTAGTAAATTGGAAAAATGGTGAATTAAAGTAGCAATATGGATGTTCTGCATAAAGCAACTTAAGTTATTAGTTTTTATGTTCACTTCATTCTCTAAATCTTTTTCTGCATGTCTTCATTTCTGATAGAGTGAACAGGTTTTGTGAGTTATAGCTGTTGAGGCTTTTTTTTAACACTGATGAAATTGATGTGAACAAAGGCTTTTGGAAGTGCCAAGCCACCATACTATTACTTGAAAAGGAGACACTGTCAAGTAAATTCTTAAAGGTCAGACAATGTATGATTTCATTTCCATTAATTCTGAAAACTTGAGGAAAAAAAGTTAGCCAAACAGGATTAAATTGGCATGTGATCAGAAGTATCTTCAAAGAGTCATTTTGAAGCTATCTTTGAAGTAGAAAACTGTTAGACTTAATGGTGAGTCCTTACTGTTATAAAAATGAATGGAATATAGGGTTAACCAAAATTAGTAGATTTTTCAATCCATAGAAAATGTTGGAAATATTCCTTTTCATCTAAAGTGTTTATAAATTAAAATTGTTTCTCTGCAGTATATATACAAAAAAGATGCTTTTGGAGGGCAATTTGTAAATATGATCAAGGTCTGTAAAAATATTCATACTCTTTGAACAGTAAGTCTCCTAAAGATCTATTCTAGAAGCATATTCAGAAGTGCAGACAAATATGTATGAATATGGATGTTTCTAACACTTTATAATTGCAAAATGGCAAGAACTAAAGTGTCAACATTAAGTAAATGATAGACTATTTTTGTTTAACTTTTAAAATCTTGTCTTTGAAGAGTGGTTAATGGATAAGTAGAGTATATAGGGAGAAAAAACAGAATAGAAATATGTAAGGAATGCAAATTTTGTTGAAGCTGTCTCTAAACATCTATATTTTTATTTATTATATAAATATATTTAAGCTTAAGCCTACATCATCATTGTAGGTAACAAAAACACACACATTTAAGATCTGTCTCCTTACCCTAAACTGCTTTCAATCCTGGGTTTCATAGGACTTTTGAATCAATCTACACAGCATTCAAATCTGAAACAGGACCACCTTATAGAAAGAAACAAACAGTATCTTAAGTTCTGTAAAATAATTTTTTTCACCTTGAATTTGCTGAATTTTTCAAAGTAATATTAAGATAGGTACAGATAGAAGAGGGTATTATTTTAAAAATGCACTTTGGAGTCTGATGGTCTGGATTTGAACACTGGGTTCACCACTTTTCTAGCTGTGTGATGATTTACTCAAACTTTCTGCCTCCTTTCCTATAATAGGGAAAATAATATCTAATTCACAGGATAATTGTGAAAATTAAAAATACATGCAAAGCATTTAGAAAACTATCCACTGCACAATAAACCTTCTAAAAGAGTTGGTGTCATTATCATTATTATTTAGAAATATCTATTAGCTGTTATATAATGAGAACTTTTTAACTCTTAAAGTGGAAATCAACTAATAATTTAAATTTTTTTAAAATAGCACATTATTCTATTGGTGTCATTGTATTTAATGATATAATTATTTGTGTCACTGAACTTGAGTTTTCTGTATTTTAGAGCTTTGGCTCTGAGGAAGAGGTGAAATGATTTAATCTAAATTCACCCAACAAATAGTATGACTAGTACTAAAACTTGGGTTCTCTTGACTGATTTCTTAGTTGTAGGTAGTAAATACTTAAATTGTACCTACCATTTCTGTGTAAGCTGACTGCTTATTTTAACATGTATTTTTCATTCATATTGGGAGCCATCTTTGAGCATTCAAGTAAATGATATTTTTTAGGTTAAATGAAATGGAACCAGAGGCTCTGCAAGTTTAGAAATTTTTTTCACTTTGACAATTCTTTTATTTTTAAGATAACCTTTGGGTAACAGATTAAATGAAATAAGCCAGTAACACTTCTGAATTTTATTAATCTTAAGTATGTCGTATGAATGGTTCTGTGTCCTTGACTGATTCTATGTTTATAGAACAATTAATGTAAGGTAAAGGACAGCCTTCTTAACACTTACTTTATTATCTGAGATGTATAGGCAAGGAAAAGACAAATCAAAACGTCTCAAGAATTTTCAAATACTATTTTAAACATTAGCTGAGGTCTTTTGTTGAAGATGTTATATAGAGGAATTTGACCTATTACAACTTTTATCTTTAGAATTCTTAGTAATTTTATGCTTTCATATTCCTTGCTCATTTAATGTTCATGTGAGGTTGAGTAGCTTCTGGGTAAAGTGAAGTAGAGTGAGTTCTAGTGATTTCCCTGGATTCACAGAGATACCCTTTTCTTCCCACTAGAACTGAGTAGTCTTGATGCTACCTCTTTGCCTTTAGTTCACATTTGTTATCTGTTTAGGATATACATCCTCCTGAGTCCTCTGCTAGGGTTTTTTTAAAATTCATATTGGCAAATTCTAATATATATATATAACATACATTATATGTATATATTATAATATATATATTCTTATAAATATTAAAAGTCAATTAAAGCTATTAACATTACTCTGTTGTAGATGCATTCGCGTCAACAAGTTTCAAAGAGTTGATCCTGATGTCCTGAAAGCCTGTGAGAACAGCTGCATCTTGTACAGCGACCTGGGCTTGCCAAAGGAACTCACTCTGTGGGTGGACCCATGTGAGGTGTGCTGTCGGTGAGTTCTGAGTTTGGTGGCTAAACTGATTACTGTGCTGGAACTGATTTTATGAAATTCTCTCATGTACTGCCTACCTGTGTGCTCCTACCACCAGGAGCTGGTTGTTTGGCTTTCTCAGATGTGAATTTGTTAAATATTCTTCTGGAGGTGATAGTGAAGAACTGTGACATTCCTGTTTTACAGCTAAAGGCACTTATAAGCTGCCTGGGCAGGGGTTTTCTACAGCTTTGCCAAGTTCATTGTAGACCAAGAAGTAGAATTTAGACACTAGACACTGTAGGTCAATTACTCCCTTCTTTCGTTGGTGGTGTACTTGTCTTCCTCTCTTAATTAGGAAAGAAACTAATCTCAAATAATACTGGATAGTAACTTTTGATTGTTTTCTGTTTCTTTTTATTTCCACTCTTGCCTCCCTCCCACTTTTTGGTTTTTAAATGACTGATGTTTTCATAATGGAAATTATTTCTCATCTAATGAATAGAATTATAAAAGGTGAGTATGGTTGAACTCTGTTCATTCCGAAAACATTCATTGTGGACCAGGCATTCTTGGTATTGAGGGGTTTTCAAAAATGAAAGTGACATTGTACTTTTAAGTAGTTCAAAGTATAATAAGGGAAAAGAAAGAATAAACAGTTACAACACTGTGATTTATGGAATGATAGAAATACGTAGAAAATGCAGTGGTTGGTGGCAGAAAGAGAAAATTACTGTCCCTGCTAGGAGTCAGTAAAGACTATTGAGTAGGTGGTACTAGAGTTGAGTGGGAAAGGGTGAGTTGCAGTCAACTAGATAAGGAAATAAGCTTCCAGGCAGGAAAAATAGGGTGAACAGATGCATGGAATGCCCTGCAAGTGACTTCCTACAGCTGTTCCTTTAGGGTATTTCTCTGGTTTTGAGGTACAATTCACCTGCTGACTCTAATAGTACAGGTGTTTTTTTAATGCAACCCTAATATGTTCCAAAGGTAGTCATAGCCTTTGACCAGATCCTCTAGCAATGAAAGTGAAAGTGAAGACATGTCAATCCAAAAATATATGGTAATTCTGCTGAATTTTTCTGGACCATCCTGGAACTATTACAACTGCTTGGTATAAGCTGTTGGTGTAAGTTTATTGCTTTGAGAGACCAGGTGTAGGTAGCAGATTCTCCAACACTTCTTTCTCAGATAAAGAATAATGTTAATAGCTTTAATTGACTCTTAATATATATATTAGAATTCGCCAATATGAATTAAAAAAAAAAGCCCTAGCAGAAAACCTAGGAGCATGTTAGTTGTGTAATTTTTTAAAAATTATAAGCATTTAAAATGGGGTAGTACTCATAAAGCTACAAAATAATGTCATACAGTCTGACATAGGCACAGGTACAAAAAGCCAGAGTTGGCACAGTGTATTATTATCACACAGTCATATAATGAATATTTAATATAATTGTCTTAAATCGTTAGTAAAAGTTTTTATGTTCAACGATGTTTAAGAAGTCAGGTAATTTGTATAAACATTTTGGACATACTTTGGAGTGCTTCAATTAAACTTTGGCACCTGAAGATCAAAGCCTTAGCTTTATGGATGATTTACTTAAGTGGATACTTCATTATTTGATGATGCCAGATAATGAAAAATTGTTGTGCTTTCATCTTGTTAATATAAGGAAAATCTTTACATTCAGTAACCTTTAATAATTTTATATATTAAAATTTTACCAAAAATTAACTGTGATGTAATATTTTTTCACAGCTAATGGAAAACACCTTCAGAATGTAGGGTGCTCATTCAGTGATAACAGAACTCCCAAAAGAAAGACATTTTAGTGATTGAGTAGAGGTGTTTGCTGTAACTTAATAGAGTAGATTGAAATATTGATTAATGCTTTTAGACAAAAACTGAAAATTAAAACAAAGCTGATCTAGCAGTTAAATAATTGAACAAATGTCTGAGTTATTAAAAATAATCCACTGGTATATGTGAGACTGATTAAGGTTATGGAAAAAATTGGAATTCACTCAAAACATTTTTTTATTAAGTTATTATTGATATACACTCTTATGAAGGTGTCACAAGAAAAAACAATGTGGTCACTACATTTACCCATATTATCAAGTCCCCACCCCAATCTAGGCACTGTCCATCACTGTTGTAAGATGCCACAGATTCACTATTTGCCTTCTCTGTGCTACACTTCTTCCCGTGATCCCCCACACCATGTGTACTAAACATAATACCCCTCAATCCCCTTCTCCTGCCTTCCCCACCCCTACCCTTTAGTAACCACTAGTTCCTTCATGGAGTCTCTGAGTCTACTCCTATTTTGTTCCTTCAGTTTTGCTTCGTTGTTATACTCCACAAATGAGGGGAATCATTTGGCACTTGTCTTTCTCTGCCTGGCTTATTTCACTGAGGATAATGTCCTCCAGCTCCGTCCATGTTGTTGCAAATGGTAGGATTTGTTTCTTTCTTATGGCTAAATAGTATTCCATTGTGTATATGTACCACATCTTCTTTATCCATTCATCTACTGATGGACACTTAGGTTGCTTCCATATCTTGGCTATTGTAAAAAGTACTTCTTGTCTTTTTCAAACTAGAGTGCTGCATCCTTAGGGTAAATTCCAAGGAGTGGGATTCCCGGGTCAAATGGTATTTCTATTCTTAGTTTTTTGAGGAATCTCCATATTGCTTTCCACAATGGTTGAACTAGCTTACATTCCCACCAGCAGTGTAGGAGGGTTCCCTTTTCTCTGCAACCTCGCCAGCATTTGTTGATAGTCTTTTTGATGCTGGCCGTCCTTACTGGTGTGAGGTGATATCTCATGGTGGTTTTAATTTGCATTTCCCTGATGATTAGTGATGTGGAGCATCTTTTCATGTGTCTGCCATCTGAATTTCTTCTTTGGAGAACTGCCTCATCATGTCCTTCGCCCGTTTGTTAATCGGGTTATTTGTTCTTTGGGTGTTGAGGTGTGTAAGTTCTTTATGTATTTTGGATGTCAACCCCTTGTTGGTTATGTCATTTACAAATATATTCTCCCATACTGTAGGATGCCTTTTTGTTCTGTTGATGGTGTCCTTTGCCGTAGAGAAACCTCTTAGTTTGATGTAGTTCAATGAGTTCATTCTCGCTTTGTTTCCCTTGCTCGAGGAGATGCGTTCAGGAAGAAGTTGCTCATGCTTATATTCAGGAGAAACGCATTCTTCATAGTTCTGAATTATTCCGTCAGAATTAAATACTGGAAGATTGCAAAGAGGAAAGGTTATCACTTGAACTATTTGAAAGGATATGGAATAGATAATCTTCTCTGTAATGAGAAGGCCTGAGAATAGCTGGCAGCTTTATTATCTACTCATCATATTCTATACCTTTTTTTTGTTGTTGTTGTTTTTATGATGTTTTCCTGATAAAGAGCATTTAGATACTAGTGATTTGTTTCAAATTAGCTAAATTGGCCTTAATGTTTTAGCAGGGTCATTGAAAAATGAAAAGTTTGAAAGTTTTCATGATTAAATTCTAAGGAATTAACTGTACATTCTAATGTTACAGTATTATTATAGTAAGTAAAAAGCCTTCTTAACCAAAATAGTACAAAGGGAAAGATGCAGAACCTAATTGAAATTCCATGTCAAAGAAATCTGAGTTAATAAAAAGCTGATCCTGAAGAAAAAAAATTCCTGATTTGAAAAGATAGATGTGCACCCCTAAGATTATTGCTGCATTATTTTACAATAGCCAAGATATGGAAGCAACCTAAGTGTCCATCAGTAGATGAATGGATAAAGAAGATGTGGTACATATACACAATGGAATATTATTCAGCCATAGAAAGAAAAATCCTGCCTTTTGCAACAACATAGATGAACCTAGAGGGTATTATACTAAGTAAAATAAGCCAGGTGGAGAAAGATAAATGCCATTTGCTTTCACTTATTTGTGGACTATAAAAACAAAGTAAACAAAATAGCAGTAGACTTAGACACTGAGAAGTGATTGGCGTTACCATGGGGGAGAGGTTGGGGTGGGTGGGTACGGAGGGTGAATAGGATAAAGGGGCTCAGAAATTCTCAATCATAATATACATTGGTCACGGGGATTGTAGTACAGCATGGAGCATGCAGCCAAAGATTTCCTAACCTCTTCCCATGTTGACAGATAGTAGCTGCACTAGTTGGGGTGAGGATTTAATAATATGGGTAATTGTGTTGAACCACTCGTTGTATACTTGAAACCAACAAAAGACTGTATGTATATCAGCTACACTTCAAGAAAAAAAAAGCTGATACTTCAATCATTAGCTGTCTGCCCTTGGTTTAGGTTTCCATTTCCATAAAGGCAGAGATTTTTCTCAAATTTCCTGCCTTTTCTGTTCTCCTTAAATTTTTGACTCCATAATGGGCAAAACTGAAGGTAGGCCTAAGCCCTTTGTTAATATTGGTGGCATTAACATATGAATTAACCTTTGTTTGTATTAAAATCTGTTGAATTTTTAAAGGCTGGAAAGGACAGAAGGGTAAATTTCCATTGCTAAAAAACCCTATGCTAAATAAAAACTTGAAATTAGAGTTCATAAATTCTTTATTGTAACTTGCCCAACTCTTCAGGCATCTTAGACTAAGACTGACCAGCTAAAGATCAACTGGTATCCAGCCAGCTCCAGCTTCCTCATTCATCAGATAGGAAACTGAGGCCTAGAGAGATTAAATGACTTGTCCGAGGTCACAGAGTTATTGGGAGAGCCATAACCAGAAATACATTCAATGCTCCTTCTACCATCCTGTAGCAACTCCTTTTATTAGGTAAACTGAAAAAGAATAGAAAAGGGAGTTATGTACCATATTTAGGTAGCATTTCTGGCCACATTCAGCCTATGAGAATGGAAGACAGCACAGCTGTATAAAGACATAGAACTCACCTGTGAGACTACTTGATATCCATATAAACTTTCAAAGGTTTTATTGCAGTTAGGCCTTACAGTTTATTGTAGATGTTCTGATTTAGAAATAATTTGAAATAAGTTATCTTGAAATGAGATTGACATAGTCAAGTATAGCTAACTCTATCCAAGTTATTTTTATGATTTTTCAGCTTAGAATCACTTTGTCTTTCTAACTTAAAGTACATGTTGTGAAAGAATTGCTTAATTCATTTCCTTTGTCCTAATACTTAATAGAAATTATTTCATAGTGTTTATATTGTGCAATCTGTTTAAATAGATTTGTGGGTTTCTCCTTTGTTCTCCAAATGAAAAACTGCTAGTTTTACTGTTCATTGTGCTATTTTTCCACATTACAGAATTTATTTTCCATTTTCCAATATTCTGATAATTATTTTCCATAGATCAAGGCTTTAAAAATGTTTTGGAAGGGTAACAACTCTTGCTCATTTTAGTTTAAAAAAACAGTAAGATGAGAGATGAGCAATTATCCTAGGAATCTCCATGAGGTGAGCAATGTAATTCAAGCAAATTAGCTTTATTTCCCTCAACAGATGGATTTTTTTTTTTCTTTAACCTCAGCAGTTGCCTCAGTTCTCATTTTTGTCAGTGTGGATATAGGGAACCAGGCCCCTATTGTATTTAATCATGGTAAAAGGAAACTTCAAAGGAAATGTCTAGTTGATTTGTGAGTTGAATTACTAGGATCTACATTACAGTGGTCAGTTAAAAACAGATTAGAAAATTTTTTATACTGCCAGTTTCAATGGTAACCCAAATAATGCATTTCTCTGATGTTTTAAACAACTGTTTTTGTTAAGAGGCAGTAGAAAAGAAAATTAGGAAAGAGAATGGGTCACTTTTATTTTAACTTAAATTGACAAGAGTAGAAAATTATGGCCTGCCTGTTGGCATAGAGCTGGTTGGGGTACTGTATATGTAGGGTCAAGTTCTGGGAGGGTTCCTCCTTTGCCTTGTATTCATGACATGTCTAGACCTATTTGTTTTTATGGATATTTCTTGCTTTGTTGATGTTACTTCAAGGTTTGTAAGGTTTTCTTGTTTTTTTTTTAGGTATGGAGAGAAAAATAATGCATTCATTGTTGCCAGCTTTGAAAGTGAGGATGAGAACAAGGATGAGATCTCCAAGAAAGTTACCAGGGCTCTTGATAAGGTTACCTCTGATTATCATTCAGGATCCTCTTCTTCAGATGAAGAGACAAATAAGGAAGTAGAAGTGAAACCCAATTCGGTGACTGTAACCCCAAGCCCTGTGTACCAGGTAACCATGAAATGACTCTGTATTGAAAAGTCAGTACCAGGGCCTGCCAGGTCATTCCAGGAAATCCTGTTCATGTTGCCCAAGGTTTCTGATTTGACATTCTAGATCATAGTTCATACTAAAGGGAAGCTCCTCTGAGGTGTAAATAGGCATCCTGAGTTATTTTATCAAAGGTCTGCTTTACTATTCAGTAATTAGGATAAATATACTTCAAAAAGTATGGCAAAAAAATAGAAAAAATATGGTAATAAAACATTCCTGATGCTTTAAATCCTTACTGTATTCAAAAACAGCAACTTATTTTTTGTAGTCTTTAACATTTCCTTTGGGTTTAACTTTTTTGTTCTCTTCTCCCTTTCCATGATTAAAGAAAAACCTCACAAAATTATATTTCAGTTAATTTCTCAAGCCAAGACAGTATCTCCTTTGCTTTAACAATTGAGGAGTCATAAAACTACCATGCGTGCACTTACAGATTTATTCACTTACTCGCTTTACTAACCTGTTGATGCACTTCACTTACAGCTAATTTTTTACAAGTTAATTGACCTTTAATTTTTAGATTTTCTTAATAATTAAATTGTACATCATTTCTCCCATGTTGAAAGGCTGTTAGGACAAAATTATAACAAAGTCATGGAAATCAAGTGTCTTTTATGTGCTTTTAAATTGAAACATTTCTTGACATTATATTACTAAGAAAACATTTTATAACAAGAAGCTGGGCTGTTTATTACATGCCATTGTGTAGAAAGTGGTACAAATGTTCCACTTTAATATTTTCTTCCTGTCCACCTCTAATCTTGAACCTGGCATTGCCAAGAGCTTTAAAAAAGAAGTTACCAAAGTTAAGGATAAGAAATTTCTAGCTTGGGGTCTTTGTTCTCTGAGAAGTCTGAATTTTCTGAAAGGTACCCTCAGGTATAACTCATCACTAAGTGAAGTGAAGATTGTATTTCTCCTGAAATAGAGCTATAGACTTAATCAAAATCCCAAAAGGCTTTTTTCTGCAAAGTGACAGATTGATTCTAAAGTTTGTTTTTTTTTCCCAATGGTACACACAGTATCCTCCCAGCTGTATTTATTTATTTATTTATTTATTTATTTATTTATTTATTTATTTATTATTTTGTTAGTATTAATCTACAATTACATGAAAAACATTATGTTTACTAGGGTCTCCCCTTCACCAAGTCCCCCCCACAAACCCCATGACAGTCACTGTCCATCAGCGTAGTAAGATGTTGTAGAATCACTACTTGTCTTCTTTGTGTTGCACAGCCCTCCTCATTCCCCCCTCCACATTATACATCCTAATCGTAATAGCCCCTTTCTTCTTCCCCGCCCTTATCCCTCCCTTCCCTCCCATTCTCCCCAGTCCCTTTCCCTTTGGTAACTGTTAGTCCATTCTTGGGTTCTATGATTCTGCTGCTTTTTTGTTCCT